TGGCAATATTCTTTGAAAATGTCCAAACGACTATTGTCTTCTCATTCTCATTGATTCAATTTTGGTTTCAGATTACGGACGTTCCTATTCTCGCAGCCGGCGTCTTCAAGGATCTCAGAGAGCTTTCCCACCTAAGGCGACCGGAATAAAAATATATATATATTCTTTTATTTTTACTATTGAGAATGCATTTAGTCGTAGATTCTTACTCAACGTAAGATCGGCACGATAGTTCGTACCTCATCGTCATCTTTTATCATGTCAAAAACACGCGGCAATCACGTTATTTGTGAGAGCACAAAATAACGTATGTTATATATCGCACTTCGCCGTTTTGCGTGAATCTGAAATTCGCATGACATTCTTTTTGTTGTCTTTTTTTTCTTGACTAGGATAATATGGTGATACTATATTAATTTTTGCGTGTGCTATTATTAAATTCGTCGATAAGCTACAATCGATTGAATTTCTACTGTACGATTATGAAAAATAAAATTTCTGTTCTAATAACAACGATAAGTAAATTGAAGTCGTTAATTGAAGTCTCTTGTTATAAACGATTGTAATGTTTTATTTGCATATATTACAATAATGAATAATCGTTGTTGAAAGGAACAAAGAAAAACTTTGCTATCGACTCTTTATATCTCTAACAATACATGTATTAAGACATATTCCAAAAAAACATAAATATAAAGAAAGCTAAATGATCGAATTAATTCGAAAATGCACAATGTTGATGTTCAATTAATACCAGATTGCTCGCATATTCTGATCGATGATGTATATTATTATTATTGATTTAGAATTGCCGTGATATATCCTTCAATTAGTTCTTCGCACGAGAAAATAATTATCTAGTACTTTCACGTATAAATATTATGGTACGATCACATCAAAAGAACTGTGAATAAAGATAATTTCTAATTAATAAGCGTGTACTTTTGCAAATACTCTGGGGTACCTATATTTTTTCTTTGTCTCTTATCCTTTTTATTTTACTGGCTTGGTTTGATCCTATTCATAGTCTATATGTATATACACAGTGAGTGCAAAAAGTATTCGTACAAGGAAATTTTTTATAAAAAAAAGTTTTATTTGTAGAAAATAAATATTAATTAGCATTTTTATACAATGAATACATTCTGTTTTAACATAAACAAACGAGCTTCGCATGTATTTCTGATTTTAGAAATTAAATTTCTCATCTGTACGAATAATTTTTCAGGTGATATATTTCCTATAATTAATATACATCTTTTTGGTATATATAATTTTAAGAAACACAATTTATTTTATTCTTTATGAATAAATTGTTAATTATTCAGCAAGAAATGATCGTCAATTAAATATTGAATTGACGTCAAATTGGTTTTGAAATATCGATTCGACATCAATTCGATGAAATTTCTCATTTTTCGCTGAATATTTACTTTTTAAAAATAAAGTTTTTTAAAAAATATTTTCTCTATATGAATACTTTTTGCACTCATTGTATATCTGTTTCTGTATTATTTTGATACACATGATACATATTTGATATGTATCTAAATTCAAACAGTTTCGTTTTTATAATCATTTACATATTGATAATATCTTTTTTATAATCCATCCGTAAATAACCAGATTTATTCGTCATATGTAAGATTATAACAAAAAAAAGTATTTCTCTGCGTCGGCGAAGGAACAACATCGGCAGGTAGTTTCGAAATCCGAATTACTTTCTTTTGCTGTATATTGAGTGCAAAAAAGAGTCTCGCGCACAAAACAGCCTCGCATAAACGATATATCATTTATATCATTATAAGAAATACAATACTACATATTGTATGGATATAATTTATTAAAGAGATATTAAATTTTACGGAGGGAGGAGAGAAATATGCGAATTAATGCACCTCAGTATACACACAATATACATACAAATGTAATAATAAATATATATATGTGTGTGTAGGGGAGGGTACATATATACGTATGTTTTCGTTATTGCATTTGTGCAAAAAATGACGTAGGAAATCAGAAGTTTTCAATTTTTTCTATAATATTTTTTTTAATAGTCAACTGTAAGAGACACGTTCCTTAAAATATTGCATTATATAAGTAATAGTAATATATATAATATGTATTGATAACAGGGGTGAGCTATTCTGCCAGTTTCAACTTTAAAGTAATACAAAAATTTAAATAACAAACAATATCTCTTTACAGTGACGTGTGTTTATAATTACATTATATATGAGAGCACAAATACAATCTTTAAATTATATCAACATATGCTGCTCAAAAATAAATATCGCGAGAAATGGACGAAAAAGCCCTATTTTACTTTATATCCAATAGCTTTTAAACACTGCACAGTGGGATATTTGACTAATTTAGGTCAAAATTATTTTTTTAGTTTAAGAATCTAAATGTGCCGTTTTACTAATTCATTGTATTTTAAGCCGAAGAAAATATTTTTTTACAAAAAAATATAGTTCTTATAATTTTTAACTATTTAATTATAAGTTTAAGCTTAAAATATATATATAATAATATCAGTTCCAATCATTATCTTGACATTCATTGACTCTAAAATAAAATTCAAATAATTGAAATTAGAAATAAACATATGAGGAGTCAAGAAATTCATATTTATTACTAAATACTTTAATAAACTTATATTGGTTATATCACGGAAAACTGCACGATCCCGCGGCTGGTTTTTATGAAATTATGAAGTAGAAATCTTCACTTTTTTAATAAAATAAAATAAAATTATTTGAGAAATACAGAGAAGTACTATTAATATCATCGAGTTTGTTAAAATTGGCCTAAGAAAATAACGAAAAATTTCTTTAAAATGCTTTAGCTTAAAGTTGAAATAATTACCATTTTGGTGAATATACATATAATTAAAATGTATTTAACACGTACCCCTTTTATCACAATTCACTTTTCACAAATTCACTTCAAATTACTTGAAACTATATCCTGAATAAAAAATATTCACTCATGAAAGGATGCTATGAACGCCGAGGAAAAATACGTCTAATTTTAAAAATGATACGTTTCGACTGTTGGACTAGTCGCTAATAGCGTGACTAAGTGCTTTTACATAACTCGCAAATCGCAAAGTATAGTTTTGACGCAGACGCAGATTGAAGATTTACTTTTTTTGTTTTTTTATTTTTTTGCAGTTGCTTTTTATCTATGTGCGTCTTGCGTGTGGCGATCGTCACTCTGCTTCAGCATTGGCAAACTACGATTTGCTCCGGAGCTCAAATTGGATAGGCCTGATATAGAGACACCCTTAGGTAACCAATTATTTTTTCTTCTCTTTCTTAAGTAGTATTTATTTTCAACTTGGGTAGGGAGTGAGTTTAAAAAAAAAAGGACTTTTAGCCGCCTAAATCGGACAAGTACTCCATTGCTTTGATTGTGTGGTGGAGTGAGGGTAAAACATCAGCGAAGATACACTCTATGAAATTGCACCTTAAAGGAAAGAAATCTCATTTTTGGAGTGAATCTCTTCCTAAAAATGTAAAATCTAGAGTGCAAATTTG